TCAACCACTTTTTCTTATACTCTATTCACCCCCTTTCTCTTAGTGCACCCATAAGGCCTTAATATTTGTATTCCAACTACATTTATGATAGATCTGCTCATACTATTCTCCACATCTTTTGCTCTCTTTTCTGAATTTTCTTTTTGCACTTTATTTTGTATATTTTCATATGGTCTATCTTCTAATTCACAAACTCTCTCTTTAATTTTGTCTAATCTACAATTCAATCTATTCATTGAATTCTTTTAGTTTTTTTTGTGTGTGTGTGTGTGTGTGGGGGGGGGAGTATAGAACTCAATCATATTAGATCATTAAAGGTTTTGGATTCTTTGCCAAAATTCTCAGCCTTATCTTTTATATCCTTGAGTATGGTGAGCAAGTTAAGCATGTGTCTGAAAACTCCAATACTGGGAACCCTTGTGGGTATTTTCCTTAGCTCTGTTGTTTCTGCTGCTTTTTATTTATGTGGTTTTTTTTTTTAAATCATGTGCTTGTTGTTGTGTTTGCAAAAGTACTCTTGGAAATCATTTGAGAACTAAGATATTTGGTCTTCCCCAAGAGGGGGCCTGAGTTCGTTATTTGCCACAGCTTATGCTAATGTATTTTAAAGTAGATTCTATAATAGGGGCTCCTTGAGAATTGGAGTTTCAAAGCAGGTTCTGGTCATTGTCCTGGTGAGCTCTGTTTTGTTTCCAGTCTCTTCTCCCTCCCACCACCTCCCTTTCCCCCTCTCCCCTCTCCCCCTCTCCCTCCCTGTCTCCATCTCTCCCCCTCTCCCTCCTTCTCTCCCCCTTTCCTTCTCCCTCCTTCTCTCCATTTCTTTCTCCCTCCCTCTCTCCCTGTCTGCCTCTCCCCGTCCCCTCTGTCCCTCATTCCCTCTCCATGTCCCTCTCTCCCTCTCCCTCTCTCTCTCCCCCCTCCCTCTCCCCCCTCTCTCCCTCTCCCCCCTCTCTCCCTCTCCCTCCCTCTCTCCATCTCTCCCCTTCTCCCTCCTTCTCTCCCCCTTTCCATCTCCCCCTCTCTCCGGTCTTCCTCTCTCCCTCTCCCCATCCCCTCTCTCCCTTTCTCTCCCTTGTCCCCTCTCTTTGTCTGTCTGTCTCTCTCTCTCCCCTTTGCTCTCGCTCTCTCTGAGCCATTTCTCCTCCCCAGCTGATCTCCAGTTTCGGGAGCAGCAAGTTCTGCATGTGGATCATCTTGTGACAGAAGCCAAAGTTGCCCCTCAAACAATGATGACCTCCCGGTGCCATCAGGACCATTCAGTTAGCAGTCAGCCGGACCTCAGTTTAACCAAGACTGAGTGACCACGCACACTTCTGGCCCCTCCCTAGTTCTTCCTCCATAGAGTGTCCTGAAGAAGGCTTAGGACACCAGCCCTCGTTCCTTCCCAGTGTGGCCACACTGAGCAGACTCCTTCACTGTCTCTCCACCACTGTCCCTGTGCTGACTGGGCAGTCATGGTGAGTGTCCAGACCTGGCCTGTTGGACCGGAGCCCAGCCCTCTGGCCGAGGATTCCATAAACAACTCCAGACATAACTGCAAAGAATAAATCAGACCTTATATTAGGACTTGACAGGTGTTTTGAAGGGAAAAAAGCACTTTAGAGAATAGGGATGCTGGAGGTCAGGTGTATGTGAGGTCACATTTGGCCTGTTTCTAGAAGCAGGGAGGGACGGAACCATGCAGAGTTGGGGAGGAGCACTCCTGGCAGAGGGACAGCCAGGGAAAAGGCCCTGAAGCAGACAGAGAGCAAAGAGGCCTGAGGTGGAAACGGGTAGTGGACTGTCACTGAGCAGTGGTGGGAGGCTCATCGTAGGGCCTCGCCTGCAGAGGGGTGGGTGTCTGCGTTCATGTTCCAAGGCTGCTATGGTGAAGGGCTTCATCCAGCATTGGTCTCCGGCAATCCTAGGGCCGGAGTCTAGAAAGTCCAGGTGTTGGCCAGGCCACAAGGTGGGCCTCTCCCAGGCTCCTGCTGGCTGCCACAGCTCCCAGCGTTCCTTGGCTGTGGCATGACACTGCAGTCCCTGCTCTGCCCTCACGTGGCGACTCCCATGTGCCCATGTGTGTCTGTGACCAAACTTCCCTCTTCCATGAGGACACATCGACACCAGCACCACTCATCTGAACTAGGTGAAGTCTGCAAGGACTGTATTTCACAGAGGCCTGGGTAAGGGAGACCCTTATTGGGTTTATAGGTTTATTCTAAAGGATATTATGGAAGCTACAGCTGAACAGCCAATGAGGTGAGGTGCGCTCTCTTCTGCACAGGGCTGAGGATCATGTAAGGGGCTCCTGAGTCCTGCACAAGAGTTTCCACCAGCGGGGTCACCAACTCCTCCCCACAGGGTTCCAACCCCATCTCTGGTATCTCTGGTGACAGGCCCTATCCTGAGGTTCCCTGGGGGCCCTACATCACCTCATTAGCATAAACTCCAAGTCTTCAAAGGGCTCCTTGGGCTCCTGCCACTCAGAGAGTCTCAGAGTCTTGCCTCTGCAGGTGGGATTGACCCCACCAGTTCTTCCCTGGCCAACTCATTTGTAGGACCCTCATAAGACTTCCTGGGGGAGGCAGGGGCCCAGGGGGCTCTTGTTCTCACTAACCAGCTCTGGCACCCCAGCAGGCAGACTCACTAACCAGCTCTGGCGTCCCAGGCTGGACTGGGGCCTTGCTTCAGGGAGCTGCAGAGCCACAGGGTCCTGGTGCAGGGCTCTCTACTCTGCCACTTTAGATGGATATCCCTGTGTGGTGGGGTTACACACCAGGGTAGAGAGTGCGCCCAATGCTCTGTCTCTGAAGGTATCCGTGTGCTTATGTGCACACATGCACACACACACACACGCACATGAAGGTCAGCTCCCAATTGGGTACTCTCGTGTGCTCACACTCGTGCACATACCCCCCCCCCCCAGACAGCACGCCTCACACACCCAAACACACACACAAGAGGGAAGAGACACATGGAGGCTGCAGACAGGAGCAGTGGGCGGCCCTCCTGTTCCAAGGCGTTCCTGGTGCAGCTACACGTGAGCCTACACACTGAAAACAACGCACAGGTGGAGGTGTCACACACTGGTCCCACGCGGACCCACGAGGCTGAATCAACATTGAAAAGCAACACAGTTAGTGTTTAATGCTGAATTCTTTGGTCGAATGATGAGGTGCTCTCTCTTCTGCCAGGGGCATTGAGGGCAGAAAGGACATGAGGGGCCCAGGGGAGCATACTGAATGAGGCTCAAATCCCCTGGACCCTCCTTCTCGTCAGGGGCGAGAGACACACACGGGATGCTATTGACCAGTCTCACCCAGGACAGACAATGGCAAACACTGTATTTTCAGGAAGGTATGCTTTGGTGCAGACCGTCAGGGTCCACGTGTCGCTATGGAAGCAGGCGGGAAGGTGCACGGTGACAGGGACTGACCCTGCCTGGTGGCCCTCACTGCCCGGTGCTGACTGTCTGCATGGAGGAGTCCATGTTGGGTGCAGGTGCTGTGGGAGTCACAGCATCTCTTTTGGGTTTCCAAGTGTTGGGTCCCAGGTTCTCGCTCAGATACCAAGTGCCGGCCTCTGGATGGCTGCCCACCACAATGCTGCAGAGCACCTGCTTGAAGGCACTCCACATATCCATGCCCTCTCCTCTGAGATGCACATTAGAAAGCTCTGATCCCCTGAAGCCACCTGCCCAGCTGGCAGAGCAGAGCACATGGGTGAAGCACACAGACAGCAGATTCTGCTGCTGACACCCACAGCTGCAGTGAAAACCCATGCTTGGGGCAGCTGGAAAACACCTAATTCTCTGTGTGCACATGTGCATGGCATGTGCATGGCATGTGCATGTACCTGCACGCACACACATCACATTGTGTACAGTACAGGCACTCTCATGCATGTGTGTGATGTGCACACTGAATGTGTGTCTGCACTTGGTCATGTATGCACATGTTCTGGTGTGTGTGTGTGTGTGTGTGCACATGTGCCACAGACTGGGAGGGGAGAAGGAATGGAAGGGCTGTGTGATCTCATAGGCATGCCCCCCGGACCCATGGGCTCCTGCCTTGGGAGGACACTGCCCAGGGATGGGTCACTTGCTTCCATAACAGACTCCTCGTCATCAACATCTGTCCTTTGATTTGGGGCTTTGTTCCTAGATATTCATGGAAATGCAAAAGAGAAAAAGAAATTTTGTCTGGTGACCTCACCCCCAATTAGCCCCTCTTCCTTGTGCAAGGGAACTTGCTAGTGTGTGCCCACACTGGAGCAGAACCCAGGCCTGACAGTGGCTGGTGGAGGAAGCTGAATCTCCATCGAGAAGGATCTGGGCATCTTCCAGAGGCACGGCCTCGAGACCCACCCATGAAGGCCGGCAGCCATCAGCTGCTCTTCCCCACAGCTCCAGAGTGGGGCTCATCTTCTAGCACCCAAGGTGTTCTCGGGCTACAGGGTGGGCTACCTCCAGGGCAGGGCTGGCTTGGAGGCAGGGAGTGGGCAGGGGCTCCTGTGGGTGCCCCACATGTAGCTGACAGACATAAGGATGGCAGAGGGGTCTGCAGACAGTGCTCAGCATAAGCGTGCTCTGGAGAAGCAGCAGCCCCCGCTCTGGAATGAACTCAGAACACCCTCACTGAACACCTGGGAATGTCCACAGGGGCCCTGCTGAGGGCTCCTGGTCACCGCCCTGCATTTTCGGCCTGGGGTCTGGGGGGCTCCTTTGATAGAATCCCATGCTGTGTTTCTGGGCTGCCCTGGGGACTGGACTCTACAAACGGAGAGTGGGTGACAGTACGTGGACAGCCAGGCCCACCTGGGCTGGTGCAGCTGTGGCCCAGAGTGTTTCTCCCTGGGGTCTTCACAAAGAGGGTCTTGGTGATGGCGTCTGAGCCACATCTGAAAGGCCCAGTCACTGGTGACCCCCAGTCCCTGTTAGATGGCAGACGGCCCCTGTAAGTGCTAAAGCTCCTTGGGGACATGGTGGCTCTGGGGAGGCCCATGTGCTCCCACTCCAGTTACACTGTAGTTTCATTTTTCCAGGGCCCCGTCCGGATGTTGCCTGTCCCATCAGTGCTGAACGGCAGGCCTTCTCGGATGTCACCCTTGAGCAGCCCGTTCTGGCCAGGGCTTCCGAAGGGCAGGGACTGTGTCCTGCGGAGCATCTCCAAGTGGGCTGGGCCTGGAGGCAGCCGTGGTGGGCAGCCATAGAGGGCAGAGCTGGCGTCGCTGCCCTCAGGCTGGCTGACCATGGGGAAGGGGTCGCCTGGGGTGCAGCAAGCCAGAGTGTGCACCCCCATCGGGCCCTCAAGGGAGCTGGGGGGACTGTCTGTGCGGGAGCTGTGGGGGCTGCCGTCCAGGCTGGATGGGATGTGGTAGGCGTACTCCCGTGGGGCCGAGGCAGCAGGCTGGAAGTAGTGGGGCTTAGTTCTGCCCTCGAGGCACCTGTGCAGGTGGGGCTCATGTAGGAAGGCCTCTCCCTCAGGCATGTGACTGTGGGCCTCGTCCTCCATCAGCTGCTCACAGTGCATCTTGGCACAGCAGGGGGTGGCTGGCGACAGGCAGCTGGCGTGGCCCTGGGCGGCCTGCAGGTTGGTCATCTTGCAGTGGCCTGGTGCTGGGTGGCTGAAGCCCCTTGCCTGGCCAGGGCACGGTGAGTCCTGCAGGCAGGCCATGTGCCCCAGCACGTCCCCGTTGGCATCGAGCGTGGGGTGTGTGCTGGGCTGTTGGGGGACGTCCCCACGGGAGGGGCAGCAGGACCACCAGCACTGCCACACATCCTCCCGCTTGGCACAGTGGTGGATGAGCACGAAGAGCCCCAGTGTCACGCAGAAGGCGCCGTACAGACAGCTGAAGACCATGTCCAGGAAGTGGCCCTGAGACACAGCCAGCGCCCCGAAGGCCCAGGTGGCCATGAAGAGGAACAGTGTGAAGGCCGCAGCCCGCAGCTGGGCCTTGAAGGAGTGCTCATTCTGCAGCTGCGAGGCGGCCAGTGGGTCACAGGCAGGCGTTGTGCAGGGCTGCGCCCCGTGGCGGTGGCCCCCCTCAGGCACCGCCAGCCGCTGTTGCTCCTCCGAGCGCTCTCTGAGCTCGTACCTGCGCTCCGGGTGGCGTCTCAGCTGGATGTAGGTGCCAAGGAAGTACACACAGGTGACCAGGACGATGAAGGCAGCGGGGCCGTAGAAAGCGCCCAGGCTAGGCTCCCAGGCCATCCAGCAGCTGCAGGGAGACGTGGGTGAGTGCAGCCCCGGGGCACCTGCTCCCGAGCTCCTGGGGCCAGGGACCTCAGCTGGCTGCTTTACTTTTGTGGTAAGGAAACAGAAAAGGGAAGGTGCAGGGCACTGAGGCCCGTGAGTGCTGAGATGCAGGCCCTGGCTGACTGCCACCCCATCTTGGTGACACTGAGACAGTTTGGATGGGCATCTGTGATCCGACTGGTCAACTGGTAGTCCTGCATGCACGGGGGGCTAGCGGGACTGTGGGACTGTGTTCTGGGAGGGGAGGTGGCAGAGGCAGAGCTGGGGTAGGTGGGGTTTGGGGACAAGGGGCCTGAGAGCAGGGCTTCATGGGCAGGCTGGATGTCCTATGCCCAGGGAGAAGCTCAGGGTGGGTGCTGAGAGGGAGGAGGGTCAGAGGCTGGGGAAGGTGACATTGGTGGTGTGGCCAAATTGTTATCTGTCCCCCAGACTTTTCCTATGTAGAGAAAACCAGGCCTTGGGTGGCCAAGGAAAGAATTCCGTGGGAAGCTGAGTCTGCAGGGAAGAGAGGGCTCTGCACACCCAGGGGAGGGGCGTGGGGCACAGCTCTGAGTGGCCTCGGGGCTCAGGGACCAGGACTTGCAGCTCCTCTCCAGGGGTCCTCACCACAGGCACCTTGGGGATGGTCACTGACAGCTGGATACCACTGTGGGCACCTGCCTGGGGGGAGCCAGGAAAGTGGCTGCAAGTGCCCACCCTCCACTCTCCTGGCTGCCAGCACTCACTAGGCTGTGTCTTCATCTTCGGTCCCATAATTCCTGATGTTTGTGGCAGCAGTGACCCCACAGATGACGAAGGGGACGCCTCCACTGATGAGGTAGAACCTGCCAGAGAGCAGAGGGCGCTGATGGCCAGCAGAGGGCGCTGACAGCCGGCCGTGGGCACAGGCTGCACCTCCAAGAGGGGCAGCTTGGATTTCAAGCCATCTTTGGGGCAGTGAAAGGAGGCCCAGGGGACCCATGGAGCAGCACCCCCCATGGACAGTGAGCATGGCCACAGGAGCCCGGCTGCTCCCCTTGGGAGCTGCTAGTGGGCCTGTGGCTGCTCTGGTCTGCTGCAGACCACTGGCCCCAGGGAACCCAGGGTGGAGGGGGTGTGGGTAGGTTCACTCCTGGCAGTGAGGACAGGCTATCGGCGACACCACTTGGACTGTCCCTAGAGTCCCTGGGCCGGGCGCTGGTGGCTCAAGTCTCCTCTGGACTTGCCCAGCAGGGCCTGGGTGGTGCCCCTCCTGTCTGTCCTTGTCCGGGGACTGTGCACTCCTGGCCACAGGGTGAGGGCCTCTGCCCCTCCAGCCCTCTGGCTGTTGGGAGAGCTGTCACTTGGAGCCAGGGTCCTCCAGGACAGCAGTTCATCCTGGTGGGCTGACACTCCCCTCAAACAGCCCTTGGCTAACAGCTCCCCCAGAGCAGAGAGGGGTCTGACCTGCAGGCCGGCACACCAGCCTGGGCCAGCAAGGGGCCCCACAGAGCTGCCATCTGCTGAGAAGATGGGCAGCCGCCCGTCTGGGTACTTTAGACCCTCTGACTGGCAGTGTGTCCCACAAGCTCCACCCAAGGGCTGGGACTGGGAGGCCCCACGGGGAATCCAGGCCACCCAGAAGCTCCCTGGACGTAAGAAAACAGTCTTCGAGAATGAAAGAGAAATCAGATTCTCTGAGAAGATTGGGGAACTTGGGAGGCCTGGCGGCCGTCACTCCCTCAGGGAGGGCCTCAACACTGCTTGGGAATCGGGGTCCCCTGGGACTGGCACAGGGGCCCGTGGACCTGGGGTGCCAGGCGCTCTGGGTGCTTCACGTGAGTGGTACGACTTTACACAGGTGTGAAGGAGTGGATAGCAACCCCGGGAAGGTGACAGGAAAACAGCCACTGAATTAATTAACACAAAATTGTAAAAAGTGCTACAGCAGCACTGACGAGGAAAGCTGGAATGAGAAACAACAAAGAGAACCACGCACACTGTCCAGAGGCACAGCGGAGGCTGCTCCAGGATTTCTGCCAAGGCACTGAGCAGCACCTGATAGAGGAACACCCTCCCAGGCTCCCCTGGACACTCTCACGGTGTGCTCTGACACACACGTTCCCAGTACCCCATCTTCCTGGGATCTCCCTGGGTTATCTGGGTTGATGTGGTCACTTGGTGTGTGTCATACTGTGCACAGTCATGTGGGAGGGCGAGCCCCATGGGACTTCCTGTAAGTGAAACTCACACACCAGGAACCGGAGACAAACTTCACCCCCACCTACTGACCAGCTTGCAGGGCATTTACTGACCAAAATAATAAGGCAGACAATGTGGAATGGATAGACAAGTGGAGGGTGAAGGACAGTGGAGGGTGAAGGACAGGTGGAGGGTGAAGGACAGGTGGAGGGTGAAGGACAGTGGAGGGTGAAGGACAGGTGTAGGGTGAAGGACAGTGGAGGGTGAAGGACAGGTGGAGGGTGAAGGACAGGTGTAGGGTGAAGGACAGTGGAGGGTGAAGGACAGTGGAGGGTGATGTGCAGTGGAGGGTGAAGGACAGGTGGAGGGTGAAGGACAGTGGAGGGTGAAGGACAGTTAGAGGGTGAAGGACATTGGAGTGTGAAGGACAGTTAGAGGGTGAAGGACAGTGGAGGGTGAAGGACAGCTGGATGGTGAAGGACAGGTGGAGGGTGAAGGACAGTGGAGGGTGAAGGACAGTTAGAAGGTGAAGGACAGTTTTAGGGTGAAGGACAGTGGAGGGTGAAGGACAGGTGGATGATGAAGGACAGTGGAGGGTGATGGACAGTGGCGTGTGATGGGCAGGTGGAGGGGCGTATGGATGAGTGGAAGGTGATGTATTGATGGAAGATGATGGATGGATGCGGCATGGGTAGATGGGCAGATGGATAAGTAAAGATGTGGGTGAAGGGTGATGGACAGGTGGTGGGTGATTGGCAGGTACAGGTGTGCATGGACAGATTTGGGGTGAGTAAGTATGATGGACTGGCGGCAGGACAAGATCAGGGGAGGACTGGGCTGGTGGTATCTGGCTTCACCTTTGCGCATACAGTCAGATGTTGGGGAAGTGGTGGGGCAGGGCTACCTGCCGCAGCATGAAATGTCGTATCAGTGGGATTTCAGGCCTAAAGCCCATCTAGACAGCAGGCGCTCCCTTTGCACAGGGTCCACCTGAGTGGTGGCTGCCACTGACAGTAACTGCAGGACACAGAGCTATGTCGGCGTACAAGCTGGCTGTGGGATCTGGCCTGGTGCTGGGTTTCACTAGCCCCTTGGTGTGGTCCTCCACAGACCAGAGTAAGTTGAGGAGTGCTTGGTCCTGGTGCCCTCTCTGAAGCCCAACAAAGTCCCTCCTGGCTTGGGTAAATGAAGAGCAGACCCTGGAGGACTCCTGTGGCTCTGAGCAGTCAGCCTGTCCCTCCCAAGATGCACAGGCTCAGACAGGTGGGCGTGCGCTCCAGGGCCAAGGCAGGGAAGGGCCCTGAGAGGGGCCGCGAGGCTGGAGTCCAAGACCGTGGAACTGGAACAGTAACTCAGAGGATTTGGTGCTTCCAGAGCCCCTGCTGGCCTCGGGGGGCATGGAGCTGGACGAACCCTGGCTCTCACCATCCCCACTGTCCCTGGTCTCTGCCCTGGCCACCTGCCCTCAGCACCTCTGAACTGCAGGCTGATTTCAGCTTCACGCTGGGCTCCTTGGGGAGGTGAGGCCAGCGCAGCATGGGGCCTCCTCCTCCCACACCTCTGCCCTTGCCTGTCCGGGCCACTCCCTCAGGACAGAGCAGCTGAGTATATCCCCTCCTCCCAGGGACCCCACTCTTCCTGGACAGAAGCAGGAGTCCCCCACTGGACTAGACACTGTCAGGGCTCTTTGGGAAAGAGGCGGCATTTCAGCCTAATGGCAATGGCCACAGAAATCACTGATGGGGCACCTCTGGGTCCTGCACCACCTGCAGCCTCCAGGCTGGGCCCCAGACCCCTCCTTGCATAGTCAGCACCTGCCTGCTCCCTTCCTGTCCCTGTCCCAGTAGCCCTGCCCCTCCTGCATTCTCCCTGGATGGCTCTTGAGAGCTGCGGGCTATATGCCGTGCATGCACATGGGACACCCACTGCCCCTTCACTGATCCGTTTCTGATGTGGGAGGGTAGCTGGCTGAGCCTGTGCAGCTTGAAGGCTGCGGCAGGCTGTAGGTGCCTCCCATTGGGTGAGCAGTGATCCTGTGCTGGGGTCTTCACAGTTTCCTGGTGAAATCCGGTGTGAGGAGGAAGCCCGGGACCCATCGCAGAGATGCTGTGTGGCCAGGAGTCTCCCAGGGCTTTCTCTGTGTCAAGTATGAGCACACATCCACAGCCAGCCAGAGTGAGCAGGAGGGAAGAGGAGTTGCCACGACACAGCCCCATGTGTACAATGCTGCCACAGAGTGTGCCTGGCCACCAAGCCAGGAGGGGCGTTCCAGGGCCCGCACAGGGCGGTGTTCCTGCTGAGAGCACAGGATGAGCACAGATGCTTTCAGACTGCTCTCTGGGTGGAAAGCAGGGGGACCCAGCCGGGCGGGATCCCCATGCAGTGTGTAGGAGTCTCAAGCAGCACCTGCCAGCAGGCCAGCAGGACAAGATGGCCAGAGAGCACCGACTCTCCATGATGACCGTGGGGTGATTCTGGGACAGCTGAGCTCTGTCTGCCAACACAGTCCTGGGCAGAGCCTCTTCTAGCTGCTGGCCTGAGCTCTGCCATCCACATACAGCTGACCTGACTTCACGTGTGGGCCTCTGCCCTGCTCCCATGGTTGGGGTTCTGCTGCTGCCATCATGGGAACCCCAGGACTCTGCTCTGACCTGCAGAGGGCCACGCACCTCATATCATCCCTCCGCCCTCTAAGGTTCTGAACACGGTGCAGAAAGGCTCAGGGCTTGCTGTTCAAGAGGGCAGACCTGCGATCTCTTGTACCCTGGGTCCTGGGAGCCCACAGGATGCCAGTCCCTGAGGTGCCAGGCTCGAGGGAGGATGTCCATCATCACTTGGAGGACAGCTTGTCCCTGACACCCTGCATCGGGTCCACCTGGCCACCCAGCACTGTGCACGCTGTCCTTCCCCGTGGCTGCAGACCCCATCCTGGGGAGCCTTGGGCCTGGCAGGCACAGGTGGGGAACCCTACCCTGCATCTGCTCAGCGGGGAGATGCCGTCCACAGCTGTGGCCAGAGAGGCCACCCGCCCCTGCGCAGCTCCATCTGCAGCCATCAGGCCCGTAGGCAGGACTCCTCTGCAGGTGCCCTCCTGGAGGCAGGGCCAGGCTCAGCAGAGGGTGCTGGAGGCCACTACAAGTGCCTCCCATCTGGCCATCACCTTTCTTGCTGCTGCCAACAGGATATCAGTAGTGCGGATGACAAGCATGGGTCCCCAGAGAAGCAGCTTCTGCTCTAACCCAGCCTGGCCGGGCCTCGGCAGCTCACCTCACTGTTCTCTCAGAGCCTCTTGTCTACCTCCTCCTTGGGGTCCATGACCATGCCTCACACATTCACCTCTGCTAACTGGAACCGGTGGTCTTGATGGGAAGAATTCTCCCGGGACAGAGTAACTGTGGAAAGGGCTCAGACCCAGAGCACTGCCACGACATGGCTTCTGTGTTCACAAACAAGCCCACGGTTTGCACGGGTGGCTGAGGAGATGCCTGGGGAGTCATGATGGAGCTGGGTGGCCCTCACTCAGCACCTTCCTGCCCAGCTGTCCACAGGCTGGGGACAGGCTCCGTATCCACAGGCTCCCCTCCGGGAGCAGGGGCCCTGGTACCCTGCAGCACTGCGCCTGCCTCCACTCAGTGCCACTCTTTGACCTGTAGCGTGCACACTC